CCTATCCCTCGTGTGCCTTGCTCCCACGACTATATATAGAGAGAGAGAGAGATGTTCTCATTATTGTTACCAAGTGTTATATAGAATAATATGTACTGCAAGATAGTTTAAATTAATAAATATGATAGTTTATATTATATTCTATAATCATAACTAAATCAATAATATATTATGATCACACAAAAATAAAATAAAATAAAATAAAAATGATCATAATAATAAGAGAAAAATTAATGGGTGGCTGTCACCTCAAGTAAATAAAAGTTCACAACAAAGGACTTTTTGGCTTTGGGATGGTCAGATTTTTCTTTTACCTACTCTCTACAAAAAAACTAATCCTTATTCAATATTCCCATTGTTTACCCTTGGATGTTTGGCCTTTAAGCTTGCTAGTATGGGGTTGTGGAGGGTAACTTAAACACTTAAATCCATTGTTTTCTTCCCCCTTTTTTTGTTTTTCCTTAATTATTATTATAAACTTATGTGCTAACTATGCTTTGGACAGGTTTGTTATGCCCATACCACCCGGTCTAGCGTTGGAACAAGCTGCACCCTTACTATGTGCTGGAGTGACAGTGTATAGTCCATTGAAGCACAACGGGCTCACGGAAAAGGGCTTGAAGGGTGGGATTTTAGGGCTTGGTGGTGTAGGCCATATGGGGGTTCAGATTGCAAAGGCCATGGGTCACCATGTCACGGTGATCAGCTCCTCTGACAAGAAGAGGGAGGAAGCTGTGCAGCACTTAGGGGCCGATGCTTATGTGGTCAGCACAAATGCTGAGCAAATGCAGGGGGCCGCTGAGAGCTTGGACTACATTCTTGACACAGTCCCAGCGGTGCATCCCCTTGAGCCATACCTTTCGTTACTCAAGGTCGGTGGCAAGCTCATCGTCATGGGAGTCATTCCTGCGCCCCTTCAATTCGTAACCCCCGTCCTCATGCTGGGTCAGTATTTGCCTCTCTCTCTCTCTCATACACACCATTGTCAATCAATTAAGGGAAAATATCTCTATACACCATCTTTTTAGATTTTGTCTCAACAAATCCAAAGTTTCAAAAAATATTTCGCATCATGTAAATAACACTTTTTCTATTTTGACCTTGCCACGGTTCCAGGTAGGAAGTCAATTGTTGGAACTTTCATAGGAAGCATCGAAGAGACTGAAGAGATGTTGAAATTTTGTGCCGAGAAGGGGTTGAGCTCCATGATTGAAATTGTAAAGATGGATTACGTCAACACAGCTATGGAGAGGCTTGAGAAGAATGATGTGCGGTACAGATTTGTCGTCAACGTCGCCTCTAGCAAACTTGATTGATCCAATCACCTTTGACTTCCGCGTGCATCTTTTTTCTTCTCCTCTTTTTCACTGTTTTTTTATGATTTGGCTTTTGGTTTTGTTGTGAGATATGTTGAGCACTGTAGCTCAAGATTGTATCAGCTGTGGTTTTTATCATCACTTCCTGGTCTAGCCTTCTCTCTCTCTGCTTAGCCATGGCTGGCAGAGAGTCTACAAATTTATTTATGTCGCTGCCTGTATCATTTGCTTTCTAGTTTGAATAATGCTTTATGTATGCTAATCTTGATATCTATTTGGATTGAAGAATAAAACCGTTCTTGCTGGTATTTTGTGCTAACTATTTCCGAGATTGATGGCGAAGGACCTTAGTGTGAGTTTGGGGAGAGACCACTTGTTCTTGAACGAGAGGTGTTTTAGTTTACATTTGGTAAAGGGTATGGTCTCTATAAGATTGCAATTTTAAACTATCTAATTAAGGCGCACTTCTAAATTTTATCTTGACATGTAATTTTGGTGCAAAAATTCTTCAAATTATCTCAAAATCTATTTCCAGTGTCTTTTGTCTATTTCGGGCTCCAACAAAGCAAAAGAACAACTCAAAGGGAGCCGGGATGAACTCCGGGTTGGTCCTTTGGAACATAGTCCATAGGGTCACTTCAATGGCTAGGGTATAAGGAAATCTTGACGGGCCCTATGATGGGCGCCAGACTGTTTATACTTGAAAATGCGGTAGGGAACTTGGTTTTGGTTTTGGTTTTGGTGCAAACGAGTCAAAGACTTGATAGAGGAAGGGTAGTTAGATACCTCGATCTCGCCCTTCAGGTCGGGATGACCTGGTGGCATGGCTCAGGGTTCGTGATGGACTCGGGACCTGAGACCGCTATCTCGTGAACCACATAAAGCAGACGCGGGCAGAAATACCAACCGGTGAGAGAGGAATTGAGTCGTGAGTCGGGACTTACCTCACGTGGGTCCGTGACACGCCTGAGCTAACTCGCATGGGTGCCCTCTTAGATCACGTGGAATCCTCCTGGCCTGTGGCTGGTTCGGAATCGTCTCCCTTGGCTTATTTCTTTTTCCTTGCAAACATACACACACATTAGGATAAGTACAGGGTGAATGCACACAAGCGTGTACATTCGAAAGGAAAAGTGGGGAAATGATGTTATTGAACCCATGTCGATTGGACAACCTTCCATCATCTTCTTAACAAGAGATCTGTGACATTATTTCTTAATGAAAAGTGAAAGCGAAATGGGGTGAAATGAAGAAAATGAGGGAGAGGCAAAGAAAGAGAGTCAAAGAAAAGAGTAGAATATAGGAAAGAAGATTAGTTTGGCTTTCACTGATTCTTCAGAAAGAGAGAATAAAGTAGGGATACAAAAGAGAGACAAAGGGCCACTATGTCTTTCAACTAGTCCTTCAGAAAGAGAGTAAAGAGAAAGATTCTTAAAGAGAAATGAAATACTAGTATGCCTTTCAACTAAGCCTTCACAGAGAAAGTAAAGAGAAGGAAAATGAAGTGCTAGTATGTCTTTCAACTAGTCCTTCAGAGAGGGAGTAAAGAGAAATATTTTTAAGAAAGAGGAACGAAGGGCTAGTATGTCTTCCAACTAATCCTTCAGAATACGAATGAACAAAGAAAAAATAAAGAGAGAGAAGGCTGGTTTGTTTTTCACCCATATCCTTCAAATAAAAAGATAATAAAAAGAACTTTTAACCTTAAAAGAGAAGAGAGAAGGAGAAAAAGGAGAAAGAGAAAAGAAATGAAAGATACAGACGACGGTTTAACTTTCGTCTGTGTAAAGAGAGAAGAAAGAAAGAGAGAGAGAACACAGACGACAGCTCATTACAGTTTGTGAAGAAAGAAGAGAGACAGAACACAGACGACGTCTTGCTGCCATCTGTGAAGAAAGAGGAGAGAGAGAACACAAACGACGATTTGCTATCGTCTATGAAGAAAGAAGAGTGAGAACACAGACGGCGACTTGCTGCCATCTATGAAGAAATAAAGAGAGAGAGAGAACACAGATGGTGGCTTGCTGTCGTCTGTGAGAGAGAGAGAACACAGACGGTGGCTTGCTACCATCTGGGAAGAAAGAAAGAGGAAAATGAAGAGAGAGAAAGGAGAGAAGGGTGCACAGACGACGACTTCGCTACCGTCTGTGAAGAAAGAGAGAGAAAGTAGAGAGAAAGGAAAAAGAGAAATCAGGGGCAGCAGCGATGCCCGCCAAAAAGGGTAGGCCCACGTTGCTGCCCCTGAGTGCGGAGAGAGAGAAAGAATACAGAGACCGTAACGAAGCCCATCAAAAAGGGTAGGCCCACATCATTGCCCCTGTGAAGATAGAGAGACAGAGTGAGAGAACATAGAAAGGGAAAGAAGAAGCAAAAGAAAGGAAAGAAGAAGAGGGAAGGAAGAAGAGAGAGAAAGGAAAGAAGGAGAGAGAAGAAGGAAAGAAGAAGAGAGGGAAAGGAAAGAAAGGAGAGAGAGAAAGAAGAGAGAGAAAAAGGAGAGAAAAAGAAGAGAGAGCAAGAAGAAAGCAAAAGAATAGAGAGAAAGAAAAGAGGAGAGAGAAAGTTATCTGTGATTCCTAAAAGTACCCACCAAGATCTTCTCTCTCTAAGCCGTAACAAAAAAACTCAAGCAAAAAGGGAATTTTTAACTGATGAAAGAAGGGTCCTTTACATGAGCACATCACGTGACATGGGTGGATGCCCAAATTCTAACATAATTGATGAAAATTAACAATAGAATGGATTAAAGAAAATTAGAAAAATGGGGGCAAAATGATGATTTTGCCCTTGTACCAACAATCTGTGAATTTCGAATCAGTCCCTATAATGGCCATGCAATCTTCATGTTCTTTCGGGATCCGTTTGAGGTCTTTCTGGTCTTCATCCGGTCAAAAGATTATTCTTTTCTTGATTGGCTTGGTAAGATGATTGTTTTTATACCCTTTTCGAGCCATGGATCGAATTCTCGGGCCATGATCATGACACGACAAAAATATGGGAAAACATGCATTCTTAAATTCAGTATTCAGCCTGTTTCTTAGTGTTCTTCACTGATTTCTTTGTTGTAGCGTGATGAGCATGTTGCCACGATCATTTTATGAAATGAATGGCTCAATTTGATGCTCGGACGACTGTTTTCCAAATTGGAAAACTTTGGCCGGAGTTTGGTTTCCAGTGCCAGGAATTTGAGACTGTTCATCTTTGATTTCTGACGAATCCGACCGTTCATCATGCGCGAAGTTTGACTTGGAGTAAGCTCTCGACCTTTTGGTCATAACGGGTCTGATATTGCGTCGATCAGTCGTGCAAGTGTCGTGATGCGGGCGTTTGATCGAGAGGATATGTTGTTGGAAATTTCCTGCTACTTTTGGAACTTTTCGTCGAATTTCTCTCTTCGATTTCTCTTGGCTCAGGTTGTGTCATTGTACGTGCCACATATCAAATCGATCGGGTCGACGAGATGAACATGCTCCCAAAATTTGGGCTCGATCTGACTCGAGATGAGGGAGATAAGACCATGGAAAGTTTTCTCCCGAATTGGTGATGCACAATTTCCATTCATGAAAACCGATTCATTAAGGGTACACCATAATAGCATACAATGTACCCATTTGGATAATGTGGCCATAACTTGCTCCAGAAGAGTCCGAATGCACCAAAAATTGGTACCCGAGGGTTTTCAAACATTCAGAATCCAATGGCGATGGTCTGGAGATCATTTGATACCCCGATAATGGTGTTGTAGTCAAGAGTCCATTTTCAACATGATAGAGGTAGAATTTTTTGAAACTGTTTTGTTGTCTGCACTACCTAAAACTCATCGGATTGTGCCAAAACTGGGAAGGTGTTCTTAGGAGACCCTTAGGCGTGATCTTGAACCTTCTTGGACCATACTGAGACTGTCAAAAATTTCACTTTTAAATCAGGGCTTATTGACCTACAACTTACATAGTCCACAGGCATTTTGGTACCCGAGGACCTAGATCGTGAGCTGCTCTCTTTATATTCGTACCGGGGATACAAGTGATGGAATATGGCCTCAAACAGCTTGCCCCGTTGAATGTTGTGCTTTGAGAGAAGCGAGAAGTACAATATTCGGAAACAAAATTGTTCCTTTGACTTTAGTTTTCTTCTTAGCCACCGGATCACACAAACACCAATGGGACACTCGTGCAAAGATGCTTCCTGGAGGGGTGACCAAGGCGCTCTGACAGTTGGGGGCGTTGTTGTGGACCCAGACGTGGAAACTTTTGGGGGATGTGTTTGAAGTCCTCACCCTTATCGGACTGTTGTACATCATTTTCGACATACTTCCATGAGCCCATGTGAATAAGGAGAGAGTCGGTGACAGTTTGGACTCACGGGTTCACAAAACACTCGCAGGTCAGGATTGTGTTGAGAAATAAAGCCTCCAACCTAGTGACTTGGGTGTGGTGCCTTGCACCAAAGAAGAATCATCTGCTGTAGCCCTATGAGAGAGGCTGCAGTAGGGCATCAGACCATCGCCATTGTGCTTAGAACGTTAAAAAACCCTGAGGACCAAATTTGGGCTCAATCGGACCCCTCTAAAAGCGTCTATGCTCATGTGACCTCGCAACTCATGGGTTTTACCTTAGCGTGATATGGCTTCACCAAACCAGTCCTGAAAATGTGGCTGTGTCAAAGTTTTCTGGTAGCAGCTTGTCCAACCCATGGCACCTTCCTTTGAAATCAGTCCGAGCTCAAACATTAATATGTTCTAGATCACACCAGCCTCATCATTTTGACCTAAGGCACTCACTGTGGCATGATTGGGAACCCCTATTGTTCTGAAGAGGAAAGCAACCGGAGAAACCAGGATAAAAAAAGGAAGTCCAGCGGGCTCTAGATTCGGTGAAGCATAGCTCAAAATCCAGGCCATGGATTGGTGTGAGGAAGAGTCCAAAAGAGCCACCTCGCATAGAGCTACATTCTGGTATGACTCTTGCATTCAATCCCTGGTTCGATGAATGTGAGTGCTCAAGTCACCAAAGAAGAAAATCCAGTCGGAAGATGCAAATTTACACCAAATCAGCCCCAACTTGGGGCAAAACGACTGTAAAAACCTCCTTTCTGACTTGCAGGCAGAGCCAGGAGCTAAAGCGACGCACCTCAGAGATGCGTCGGCAAACAAAGTTCACAAGACTGGCCAGACTTTCATCTCGGGGAAGAAGGTCACCATAGCACGATTGAAGGGCATCAAAATGCTCACAATCGAGAGAAGAACAAAGATATGTTGCTCAAAAAGTTGAACAATTGCCTCATGTTGCAGAACTAGCTTCCAAGGTCTTCCCTTGGCAGAGC